CAAGAGGTGCAGTAACAATGGCAGCATCTGCTATAAAGGTTCTCCCATCTTCTACCGTTACTTTCACTCCATTATAACGTCTTCCTACTTTCGTAACTCTAAGGGTGCACAGAGAAAAACAAGAAAAGCAATGCTTGTGAGTCAGTCAATTATGTACCAAAGTAAAGAGGGGTTTCCATTAGAGTAACTGCTATTAACTAACCTGTGGCCCAACCGAATATCAAGACCTTTGGCCAGTGTATTAATAACAGGAAGATAACCCCTGACCATAAACCCATGCCCACCGGGAAGCAGCACTTCCTGTGCATCAGTTTAAAAAACAACCATGAATAACCATTCGAGCAAACTACGAGCACGTCATGACTCCCTATTAATATTTAGCAGAATAGTACTTGCTCAAGTGACTTCTAGGCTAGCATTCAGAGTCGATATTTTTCTAGGCTAGGAGAACACGTGATTCATGAACGAGAAGAATAACTATGAGATCACAACCACAAAAAACTAACATACGCAGTGCAAAAAAAGGTAATTTCTTTACTAGCATAATCTTGGGAAAAAAAGAAAAAGAAAAAGAAAAATTGATACAAGAAATGTAAGAATGAAAGGAAATGCAGCTAAAGAGATAGAGGAATTAACCTGATCCCAGCATTTAACTGAGATGGTATCAGCATCTGCAGCAAACCATCCTTCCATTCTGCATAGGTACCATTGAAGCACCTTATGAGCGAGCCCCTCCAACCTGAATGAGAGATTTACTTATTTAGTAAACTCATTTTAACTTGTGAAATAAAACGGTAACAAGATAAGTGTTATAGCATTCATAATACCTTAAATCTGGCCTTCTTTCGAAAACAATCGAGATAGCACGTTGTATAGACGTGTCCCCACTAAATTCCTGTCTTACTAGATCAGTCTACAGTGAATGAAGTTAAAGTTATGTCAGTAACAACATGCCTGAAAAATTCTTTCCTATTGATGAAAGAACTAAATATTGAGGGAGATTGAGAAAATAGTGTACATGCCTCTTTCAAGATGCTCTCAAATGTTTCACCAGTCTTTGAGACCAGATCTTGAGGAACTTGATTTCCATTCATATCATACAACGCGTAGCTGAAAATAAAAACAAGATTTTAGCCGCCAACCAGAGGTGACATGTAGTTGATTGAAAACATAAAAATAAAATTTTAGATCAATAACTTGAGAGAAAATCCCACCATCTCAAAGATCAGAAATGTATAGCTTCTGAACCGAATAGCCCACAGATGAAAACAGAAGTGATTTAGCAAATTAACACATCAGAAGTAAAAAGAATTACATACAAACCTTTCTAAATCATGGTCATACAAAACTGAGTTGTCCCCACTAGTACGATACAGGGGTAGTCCCAGTCTCCCAATGACAGGTGCCAATGGATTCTCCTTGCAAACTCCATGTAACCTGAAGCGTCGACATGAAGATAATAACTAGTAGGAAGCCAGAGGAGTAAAACTTCACACAAAGGAGATTTTACATCTTTTGACAAGCCAAAAAATATAATAATAAATTTTTTTACCATGATGCACCCAAGTCAACAGGAAAACCAAATGAATAATCGGTGTGAACTCGACCACCAATTCTATCCCGAGATTCCAACACAATTACCTGCAAAAATAAATTATCCTCAAGACCAATATTTTTAATCGAGCATGTCGTACTTCCAGATATATGCAGAGAACATACCTGGAACATAGCATCATGAAGAGCTCGTGCAGCTGCAATGCCCGCAAAACCACTGCCGATGACAATGACTGATGGAGAGGATACTGCATAAAAAAAAAAAAGACTCACTGAAGGAACGCTTAAATATTCTGCATATAGACATCTTTTTGTTCATGTTAGTGCATAGATTATCTTCAAACATCTTCGCGGATTAACAAATGGATCGAGAGAAATTATATATTTTTTAAACTAGAATAATAAATAAATCTTGAGCAGTAAAATAAAGTATAAATTCTACAAATTTAACCACAAAATAATGTCAGTTCCCTTAATTCCATCTCAAAACATGAACAAACGAAATAAGTAAAAAAAAAAAAAAAAAAAAAAATTAAAAAACCATCACAAAACATGAAAAAAAAAAAAAAATTTAAATACTTGAATGAAAATTTTGAGGAAAAAAATTAATTAAAGAACCTGAAACAAACCTCTTTGCATTTGGTAATCACTCTTGTTCCTTGACTCCATGGTTCCAATTCGAAGACGATGATCAAGATAATTGCAATAATAAGTAATTAAAAATTGTAAGCTTAATCCCGAAAATAAGTTGAATAGTCTTAACAACACGTATTGAAGGATAAAAATAAGAAGGCAAGTGATGAAAATGATTTGAATTTGCAAAAATATGCAGATTCAGCAAACAAAAATCCCAGTGAAGGATTCGAATAACTCCCAATATTGAATCAGAGTTAAACTTTGGGATGCTCAAGAAAATAAAATCCTGTGTAATTATTTTTTTATAATTTGGAGGGAAATTGAAATATTTATAGAATATGTTGGCCAACCGTTTAGATATTTTACAAATATAAATTTTCATTATTATATTTCTTAATAGAAAGAATTAGGAGTGAATGAGCAGTGAAGCACCGACACCATTTTTAACACTCCACGTGCTTGTGTACGTACCACACTTATCATTTTTGCACGTTTTGAATTGACCTTTATTGAGATTTGGACCGACTCGAAAACTGGATTACAAATTGCAAGGGAGCCAATGAATTAAGAGCCATGTTGCAGTGCTAATATGAATGATCTCGAGGTTGACGCAACGCACACATAGAGGGTCGGAATTATTTTATTTATGGAGGATCCATACCGGACATGTGAGGGCGCGGGCTTAGCTCATGAATTAATAGTCTTCTTCCAAGATCAAGACTAGTACCTACGATAATTGTGTTGTCCAACTTTTTTTACACGTTATGGTTGTATCGCTTCAAACAAAAAATCCTTTTCAGACACTTACATTTCAATAATATCTTGAGCAATACTACTCTTATAGAAATTATTGTACAGAACTCTTACAGAATACACACATACAGGATGAATGGGTAATTTTTTGTAATATTTTAATTCACTCCATCTCAAACACATCTGTAAGAATTTTGGAATTTTTTTTCTGTACAATAAGCATTAACCTAATATCTTTTACTAATATTATTTTACAGCCACGTGGTTTATCAGTTTGATTTAAATTATAAAATAAGGAGATATATCATCAATCCATCTGTCATTCAAATTGGCGTACTCAGATTTTATAAAATATTAATTTTTGGCAATTTCAAGAGAACATAGGAAAAAGAGTGGCATAAAGTCGCGATGGCACCGACCACGAGATTGACATTCCATAAGTCACAAAAGTGGCTAACGTATGACGCCCCCTTCATTTATTAAAAATTGTATAATTCGACCTTCGAGGTGTGTGCGCTCGATTGTTTCCTATGTCAATCAATATATTACCCTAACTCGATCCATTCATTTATATAAAATTTGACCAAATAAGCCCTGAGGTAGGGACCGTTTAGACCTTTTAATCCAAACATTGTCCCCAGGATTATATTTAATAAACAGTGAGACAATAAAATTAGAGACTTTATCCACTATTTATTTTTTTCAACCTGAAACATGTGATGTGACGTCAGTGGATTCAAACACGCGTGAAGGTACAGTTTAATTTTTTTTATTTTCTATAATAATCTCAAGTTTATTGGAGTGCATAACATGTGTCCTTAATTAATACGAATATAAATTAAAGAACCACTTTTTAAGTTGGGCTTGGGCCGGATTATTTTTTTAGTAACATTTTTAAAAGTCATTTCAAACTGGAGTGTCTGTCAACTGTACGTAGACGTAGAGATTATGTTCATGTAATTTTCAAGACAATCATACTTGGGATACATTGTGGTATTCAATATGGTGTCCAAAATAAACATCCGGCACCTCGACATTGGCCGAGGTGCCTGCCACGTCGGGGCCCGCCGGCACCTCGGCCAATACCAAGGCGCCGAGTGTCCATTTTAGATACCATGTTGGACATCACAATGTACCAAGAGCATTATCCTTTTCAAGAAGCCGGCAGACCTCCAATGGCGCCCCTATTTTTAACTTTGTCCCCAACCCGGGACAGGGAGCATATTTCAATTTTCACTTCCCTTTCGATATTCATTTTTGTAAGAATGAGAATGAAAAATATAGTCGTTGTGGGACCCATACAAAAGATAGAAAATCAAATATGAATGTTTGATATGATGGATTAACTGTCATATTTTTCATTTTTGTGGCTAAAAAATGAAAATCAAATGGGGGCTTACTAATTTGCTTCAATAAGAATTTGATAAGCCCTTGTTTGAGCCTCACTTTTTTGGAAGAATGAATTTTTGAATAGTGTATTGATGAAAAACGTATGGTTAAAAAATAAGGAAAAATTTTAAATTTGCGTTTAACATTATTTTATTGAAGAATGTGTGGTTAAAATAATGTTAAAAAATATATTTTTCTAAAAGAATGGATCTCAAACAAAGCCTAAATATGAGCTCACTCAAAATCCAACCTTAATAAAATGAGAGTACGAAAATATCCTTTAGTTTTATTATTCTCAAAATTAATAGTGTTGATATTTTGTAAATTGATCATTGTATCTTGAAAGATGCCGTCAAATTATGGCATCGATTTGGGGGGTGATGCTACCAAAAAATCGTACCTGTAGATTTCCCGAGCTTGATGACGGATGTGGAGCACGAACGTGATCTTCCGATACCTGAAACAAAGGCAACGAGGGGTGTTCTCGTCGCCCCTCCGATGCTTAAGTCGGAAAGGGAAATATATGCGTGAGGCTATGTGTTGAAGAACAATGTAAAAACGTACCTGAATAATGACCCAAGGTTCTGCTTTTATAGGAGTAGGTAGTGTACTCCTAGTAGGATTGTGTTGGTTGGATGTTTTTATCCAAGGGAATTTCTATTATAAAGAATGTCCTACTTGAAATGGAATTGTTTGACAAGTGGTGTTTTGGGCCGGATTATTTTTTTAGTAACATTTTTAAAAGTCATTTCAAACTGGAGTGTCTGTCAACTGTACGTAGACGTAGAGATTATGTTCATGTAATTTTCAAGACAATTATACTTGGGGTACATTGTGGTATTCAATATGGTGTCCAAAATGGACACTCGGCACCTCGACATTGGCCGAGGTGCCTGCCACGTCGGGGTCCTCCGGCACCTCGGCCAATACCAAGGTGCCGAGTGTCCATTTTAGACACCATGTTGGACATCACAATGTACCAAGAGCATTATCCTTTTCAAGAAGCCGGCAGACCTCCAATGGCGCCCCTATTTTTAACTTTGTCCCCAACCCGGGACAGGGAGCATATTTCAATTTTCACTTTCCTTTCGATATTCATTTTTGTAAGAATGAGAATGAAAAATATAGTCGTTGTGGGACCCATACAAAAGATAGAAAATCAAATATGAATGTTTGATATGATGGATTAACTGTCATATTTTTCATTTTTGTGGCTAAAAAATGAAAATCAAATGGGGGCTTACTAATTTGCTTCAATAAGAATTTGAGCTCAATAAATGGATGAAAATAAAAGACGTAACATTATTTGTTATCGTAATTGATGTTCAATACTAGCATTTTTGAATGGAAAGACTACTTTCTTCGTCTACGTTGATTGTTACTTAATTCATTCATTCACTCAAGTCATTTAAGTAATTCCTATAACGAGATAAGTTGACTAGTCGAGGCATTCATCCACGATCTTTCAAAATAATTAAAAAAATTAAGATAGGATCCACCGTTGGACTCTACTATTATAATATTTGATATTTTAATCAAGAATAGGACATCTTCATTCTTCTAAACTAATTAGTTCTCATTCTGGAGAAATTTTTCCTTCAATATATATATATATATATCACGTGTTTTAATTTACGATAATGCACCTCCACGTGTTGCACGGGCCATTTTAATTGTAATTAAATGAAAATCGTCTATGAGATTAGTCAAATTAGTAGTGCTACAGACGTGGAATTTTGAGTATTTAAATTATTATTCACCATATTTTTTCTTTTCTTCTTCATCCCACTAAACAATGGAAACAATACAATGTTTGAAAAGCATTTTTAAACGGTTAAATTATAAAAATGAGTTGTAAAATAAGTACTTATGAATCACTTGAAATGTGTGAATATAAACATAGAAGGTGGCTCGATTGTTTATAAACATAGATTTCAACATTATTTTTCGTCTAATTTTCACACTAAAAAAACTTCTTGAATTTTTGAAACATCGTCCTCTCTTGTATATATTAATGTCACCGGAGATTAATGAATTTTATATGAACTCGCACTTTAAAATGTATCTCAAACAATTCATGGCATGAACCATTCCCCCGCCCCCCGCCCCCCTTTCTCTCTCTCTTTTGGGCTCTTATTGGTTAAAAGATGTGGAAATTACAAAAACACAGGTGTTTCAACTTCTGAGTGCAAAAATTAGGTACAAAGTTGTTTTAATCAAAATTCAGGTATTGAATTAATAATTAAATTTTATACCCACCTAATCCCACACAAACCCTATCATTTTTGATATCTCGTCTCTCTCTCTCTACACTCTCTCACAGCACCCGTCTCCGACGGTGTATCCTATCAGTTTTCTTCTATCTTCTCAAATCTCCTTTGTCTTCATATCTCGTCTCTCTCTCTATCATCTGTCACAAATGCCCGTCGCCGTTGAGGAGCACCTGCAGTCGAAGACAGCATCGAGCCCAACTTCAAGGCCTGTGTTGATGTGAGATTCGAGCACCATCGATGAAGCCGATGCGTTCCACCTTCTCTCCTCCTCTCTATTGCAACCAAGAGAAACACTGTGCGGGATCTGGTACATTGCGCGACTTTGCCTGTGCTATTTGATGAGCAGCGTTGCAAGATTTGGCTGTGCCGTACTGTTCGAACTTCGATCTGTGGCTTCGAATTTTGGGGGTGGTGTAAGGTGGAGGTAGTTGCGATTGTGTGTGGTGTATTCGATGACGGTGCAATGGTGGTGGTGGTGAGGTGGATCTAGGTCAAAGACAGGCAGTAGTGGTGACGACTGGTGTGATCTATTTGTGATGGTATGTGGTGATGGTGGTGTTGGAAAATGGTGTCGGCAGCGATTACAGTGGTGGCGGCGATGGTAGTGGATCTGATAGTGGTAGTTGTGGTGATTTTTGTTGGCAATGTGTTGGATCTAGTGGTGGTGACATTATTGGTGCTGGTGGTGACCATTTGGTTGCTCTGTGACCAAGCATTGGTGATGGATTGGGTTCGACAGTGGAGTCTTTGGTATATGTGACCAACGATTTGACATGTGACCTTAAAATTTGACAATCTGTGACCTTGAAATTTGATAATCCATGATTTCAACAAATCTGTGACCTCGAAATAATTTGTAACCTACAAAATTTTTTATATGTGGCCAGTGAATAAATCTGTGATCAATTAATTTGATAATATGTGACCAGTAAATAAATCTATGACCATTAATTGTTTAACTGTGACTTTAATATATTTATTTAATAAATATTTTTAATTAATTAAATACAAACTTGAATTTTGATTTTTCAAACTTCTTACCTGATTTTTGAAATGGTATAAAAAATACATTTGAGATATGAATTTTTCCCTGAGATAGGTCCCTATATTGATTCGTGAATCAACAAGTTTCATTACTTTGCTTTATTAGCATTTGTTTAAGAGTGATTTTTCCAAGTGAACAATAATTTAAAAAAAAAAAGTGTGGTTAAAAAGTAAAAAAAAGTTATGAATCCTCCCATAGAATGTGTGGCTAAAAATAATTTTGAGGAAAAATGACTTGAGAAAATCTCTCAAACAAGGCCTTAATAGTCTATATCGTTAAATATTGCGTATTGCACACAGAGAACAAACATGCAACATCTGTGGTCTCATATAGATAACAATAATTCTGCCCAGAACCAGCATATACATGTAATACAGCAAAAAAGAAAAATCCATTTTACAAATTGCCCAAATTGTAAAACAGCTATAGACATGTAAAAGTTTTCGAAAATTAGAACTTCTCAACTGGGAATCCTGTGACAGGTTTGATTTCTGATGCCATAGAACGGAGCTCATCAATTTCTTCGGTACTGAGTCTCCACCCAAGCGCACCAGCAAACTCTGTAGCCTGCTCCGCATTTCTGGCCCCGGGTATTGGTACAACGTTCTCCTGGGCGATTAACCAGTTGAGGACAACCTGTGAAGAGAAATTAAACTAGTGAAAAGACACGTGTATTAGTTAACTGTTTCTAAAGATATCCAATGGCAGAGCTGAACTTTCGGTTTGGGCGCCTATGGCAGTCGTCTGCGCTACACTAGTTGACAGCTGGTGGCATAGCGATAGTAGGCAGAGAGATCAACATATAGAGGAAACCAAAACTACATATTTTGATCATAAATTTTGGTAAGAAAATATAAAGTAATCCACTTGTGAATACTCGGGCATGGAATTACAAATAATTTTTTTCAAAAAATATTTTGTGCACTCACGTGAGGAAATATAATGCTAGATTTAACGGTTTAGGATGAATTTTCTAGAGGTCCTAAAGGCTAAGGACTAACTGCAATAATTTTCCAATGTGAAGTAGTGAAAATTGACTGTCACGGTTGGGCCGAAATAAGAGACCTTTACCACTAGGCCGTATCTACCTTATTAGCGAGAAATTAAAGGTCTAAAGTTTTTGAGGAGGAGGGGGGGGGGTCCTCCCTCCGGGGAACTGCCCCTGCAGATATCTGTCACAGAAGTCTTTTGGGACTCGGTTGATGAAACTGTAAAGAGTAAAGAAGAAATGCAAAGATTGAAACCTTAACCCCTGTTTGTCTTAACATTTTTTTTTTTTTATTAATAATTATACACTTAAACAATAAATAAACGTCATGAAATTAAGTAGCCCATCTATGTGAGTAGAAGCTGCAACATTAAACCAATTATACAATTTCAAATAAAATAATTCTCTAAACTGTTCTAAAGTCTTTATCTGATCATCAAAATAGCACCCGTTTCTTTATCCTAACATTATTTCAAAACTCTTTTTTCGTAAACTCATTTTTAACAATATATTCTCAAAATAAAATATTTTGCACGTAAACCTAAAACTTTTTCCTACTTTTTAATCACATTCTCCAAAAATTCACTATTGTAAACTCATTTTCCTACTTTAATGATGAACAAACAGGGGCTTAATAATGTAGCACTGGACCACACTAGCCGATTGGAAATTTAGTGTATTTTATTTCAAATTTTCTTGTAAAGGAACTAAACTATCATGGACAAATCTAAAGGAATCGCCAAAAAATAAGCATGTGACATCATAAATTCACAGGCTTAGCAATTAGCATATAATAATAGTCTTCTTGAAGTGATTGATATATCCCCGATTGATTATGCTAAAAGTTGAAGAGAACAAACCTGAGTTGGTGTTCTATTGTAGTTTTGTCCAATCTCTTCTATTCGATTTATCAGAGGTCGTAACTGCAGGTAACCAAAAGTAATTCGAGGAACTGAGTAGAAAACTTGTATGTAAAATATTTTAGTGCATTTATAATACTAACCTTCGTCAGGAACTCGGGGGTATAAATCCGTCCTCTAGGACCAGAGGGAGGGTTATCTGGAGTGTATTTCCCCGTCAGAGCACCTATATATGTCAGACAGCTCAGAGGCCAAGTGAGAGAAGAAAAGTAATCCAGAATCCACCTTTTAAGTTTAGTCCAGGTAGATTGGAGCCATAAGAATTAGTGTGGAATTGAAAATCGCCCCGCCCTCAAAAATCAATAAACCAAAAAGAAATGCCCCCCCCCCCCCCCCTCAAAAATCAATAAACCAAAAAGAAATGAAAATGAATAAAGAAATCCATTGGCATCAGAACTTGGCTATTACACGATCTTCCGCGAAACTAATTTTTTAACAATTTCAGAACTTGGTGGAAATGCAATTTCTGATGCCAAAAAACTATGACCAAACATGGTAAATGAAATAAAATCAAGCATATCGAAACAATAACTATTCACATTAAAGGTTATCTCTTAGAATACAGCAGACAATTTCTGCATCCAAACGTTCCACATTAAGGGGTTAACAATATGTTTTGAATCCCTAAAACCATTGCATTACCAAAAGGAATCAAAATAAAAAAGAAACAAAGAAAATTTAATATGCACGAATCAGTATTTTGATTGTGTCAATTATTGTTTAATTAAGTTCATGTCAGTTCTCTCCTTAAAAAAAATTATGCAAACACTACATGTTCGTGCAGTCAATGGCTACGCAAGTTATGTAAGTATGCAGCAATAAGCATAAATCGTGAAAAAAAAGGACCAGGTTTTAACCTTGAGCAATTGGCGAATAAGCGATTATAGTGATCCCAAGTTCTTCACAGGCAGTTTTGACACCATTCTCCTCTGGGAGTCTGTATATGAGACTGTAATTTACTTGGTTGGAAGCCAGAGGAATACCTCTCTTTTGAAGTTGGTTATATGCATCACGAAGACGCTTCTCTAAAATCAGATATGGCATCATCAGTCAAAGGTTGCATGTAAGACAGAAGAAAGAGTAGGAATCTTTTTCAGATTCATCCATGATTGCATGAACAAAATTAACAGAAATAGCCATCAAGGATGGTGCAGTGATTCAAAAGATTAAGAGAATAACATGAGTAGACAAAAGCAAAGAATGTTGGACTTTGATTTGTCATTGGATGACCATGACAAGCTGAATGAAATGGCCCATTCAGAGTTGGAAGGAAATTTTATGTGATTAAGAAACCAGTTCAATCATTTCCATATAAAAGAAGAAAAATTGCATAAAAGCTACACAAATATTAAGTCGTTTATGGTTTTTCCCACCAAGAGAATAGGGAAAGAGTCTAATAAAACAATGATATGTAAAGAAGTCAATGTTATGCAGCTGATGGCATTTGTAGAGTGTACCCTTCAAAAGGGTTATATTCATTAACCTGTATGAACTTAGGATATATGAATTATATACAATGGTTCAACTACTGTATGTATGTATCTTTGCTTTCGAGAAATATACCATTATAGTTGCACACTCCAACAGCCTTCACAAGACCCTGCTCCACTGCATCTGCTAGACCATCAATATATCCTGAAAAATGGTTCTCAATATGCTAAGCCCTCTTGAACTTAAACATGAATATTCTCAAATTTAGTTACTATATCAGATCAGTCATTGAGCAAGAGAATGTACAACCTTCATTTCCCCATACTCCTGGCCTGAAATGTTCATCAGATAACAAATTGCTTCAATACGTATATGCATATACTACTGATTAGAATAGGAAGAATGGTATTTAGAAAGTTAAAGAAGCAGACCAGTGGAGCTGATAGAGATCCACTGAAGACAGTCCAAGACGACAAAGAGAATCCTTCAGAGCAGAAATAACACTCTGGCGACCAAGCCTCCATGGTAAAGCTGCATATTTGGTTGCAACATTGACTTCTATATCTGGATTCTTATCTTTCTTTTCCTTGATGAATCTTAACAAATATGGCAACTCGAATTACAAGAACTACAAAATTGAAGAAAACTGGAAAACACTATCCTGAAATTTCAACTCTCAAATGTGTCACAAGTTACCTTCCCAACAGGGTTTCAGAACTCTCGGCACCCAATGCGAGCTGCAAGCACAGGCAACAAGTTTCATCTGATCACACGAGTTAACTGAATACATGAAAGCAACACTCAAAATATAATCAATTTCCCACCCTTGAGCCATAAACCTCAGCTGTATCAACTAATGTTATACCACAGTCAATGCTGGCATTAAAAGCAGCCTTGGCAGCCTTCATTTTTCGGTCTGTCAGCATCACAAGAAGAGAAAGAAAGTTGACTATTTGTTGATAATTATAAGAAACAAAACAAAGAGGAACATCAGCTGAAAAACACATTACATGCAGAGAGGAAGAGGGAGAGTTCACATGAAAAGTGTGACAGTACAACTACCACAACCCTTGCACTTTTACTCGCACTCAGAAAATGAAAAAAACACTGACCAGGCAAGAGGGAAATAGGAAAATAAAATATCATAAAGTATTCATGTGGCCGACCTCATATGTATAGAAATGATGCTTATCTGTTTTATATAGCATATCGGTCAGACAAGAAAACAAGCCAAATTTTGATTGAGGCAAGGAGAACACAGACAATATAGAATGAAGATAGTAAAGAAATTAACGAAAAGGAAAAAAGAAGTCCATTCTAATATTTCAAAAATATTAATACAATTCTAGTGATGAAAACAATTATGAAACACATCCTTCACATATAAGAGATAAGTAGCAGCATGGTGAAAATATATTTAGTATAACAACAATGTTCACTTAAATCAAGATTCACTGTGAATCAAACGCTCACCTTCAACGCTAGACCATGTAAGTAACCTGCAATGCCATATTGCTTAGGACTTCATAATGTACGATGATGCCACTAATTATATTTTGTAATGACACCATATTTGATAGAAGTAAGTCAGTATTTGATTAGCAGCAAGGAAAAGTACAATCTTTTCGCAAAGGGTTAGTATTTTGCTAATGGCCTTAAGAAAGTACTGAAGAACTTAAAATTGATCGTACACTTGTATTACATGAAGAAAGCCAGTATCTTTATAATATTAAGTAGTTGGCTTAGGATTTGAACTCTCATCATCTCCCCCATTATCCACTTTCATCCCTATATTCTGTCATTTGTAATATCAAAAGTAATGTTCAACAGTTTAGGATGACCACTTCCATTACTGTGATTCTATCTTAGCCAAAAGAGATGAGGAATTTGGAGAAAATCCTTTTCCAACTAGAAGCACACGAAAAACAAAAATATGTGCAATTTTCCTCTTGATTCATTTTTCATACACCCCCCTTGTCTAATATTGTTGGAAAATAATCTTTGGTCTCTCATGTGGGCCGAGCCAACCTGTATTCCTTGATTTGGGTCGGTACAACTATACTCATTTTTTAACTTGAAAATTCACTTCTAAAAACGATCCACAACCATCCATAGCCACTCATCTACAAAGAGACAGAAATTTAGGCTGAATATGGCAGAAATTCATACACGGAATGATTTACTTTCTGTGCACAAGAGTACATTAAATTGCAGAACTCGAGTGAGAGGAACAAGCAAATAATTCAATCAAGAAGCATATCAAATTCTATGTTTCTAACAAATTTTCTAAGCAAAACCAATTCATTGCTTTTAATATAATGTTACAAATCCCAACGCCACCCCTTTACAACTTATAAAATGCCACAAGATAATGCCATATCCTATTCAATTACCATCACACATTCGCAGGCAATAAAGATAACGTCGATTTTGGGTTGAGTGAAGTACTAATCGAAGTAACACAATATAAACAAAACATATGAAAGAAAACTACCATCCCAATCGAAATTGTTCCAGTAACTGGTGTCACCCCATGACCAGGCTCCAATCCCAAGCCTGCTCACCTTCAGCTCAGAACCACCCAATTTCAATTTCTCTTCATCGGTCTTCACAACAGTACTTTCCTGCCCAGAAGCCACAGCTTTAACTGTACTAATTTTATTCCGACCAAAAGTACAGAAGCATGCACTGCTCAAATGTAGAGCCATTATCTCTAATTAGAATTTGGTACCAAATTTCCCCCCCCTAAAATATTGGGGTTTTGAAGAAAAACTGTCCCCAAAATAGTGTTGAAAGGGGATTAAGGAAAGTGGTAGGATGAATGGCATATTTCTTCAGCAGAAATGTTGGATTTTGGTCCATGGAAGTAAAATTGTGAATGAATGGTATTAAATTTTTACACGTTCCAGTATTTTCATACTGCAAACAAAAAGTAATCAGGACCCACCTGAATTAGACGGCACCCAAGTTGTTAGAAAGTAGAAAGATGGAATAAACGTTCACCCAAATGGACCGGCAAAGTCTTGGGGACCTGCTATGCATATTTAATCAGGTGGAGTCCGCCTTGTGGCTAATTCCACGTAGTCTTTAGTTTTTTCAATAGGGAATGAAAAATATATACTCTCATTTGAGGATTTTCATGTTGTGAAATTTCTTGGCTACCTATCCTCTAAGCATCTTTCTCTAACATCTTGCCCTACGTTGTCACGAGTTAGCCTCCATGAGCTTGTCGAGAGCCGAGTTGGGTCAAGCATTATGACAACTAAACTACCCATATTCCTTTTTGGAAAAGTTGTAGTAGAGGTTCCAAACATTTAAAAAATGTGTCATGAGTGTAAAAGTTTTGAATTAAGAACTGTAGCTTCAAAAGAAAATTGGGAAAAAGATGAATTCTCTCATTATATCGCATGTAATGTGTATACATTTATATGTAGAGCAACAACATCGCACTTGTATTTATTTTTACTAACTATATCTAACTGCTTAACATATATAACCGCTACTTAGCCGTTATGAGAGCAACTGGAGCAGTTGATTTGGCTAAAGATGCGACAGCTAACTTAATTGTTGAATCTGTATTATCTATATCGTAAGACCCCCTTAAGAGGGGCATGTATATTGAGTACGCCCATCTTGGAGATATTCTTGTGGAACAAAGCGGAACCAAGGGGTTTTGTTAAGATATCTGCCAATTGATGTTGGGAATAAACATGGATGATCTTAACTAAGCCAACTTGTAATTTAACTCGATCAAGATGACAATTAATTTGAATGTGCTTGGTTTTCTCTTATTGAACAGGATTTGTAGCAATGAAAAGTGCTGATTTGTTGTCGGTATATAGGAGTGCAGGTTGGTCTTGATGGACACCCAAGTCCTATAGAAGGTAGATAGGCCATTGAGCCTCACAGGTTGTGGAAGTAAATGCCCTGTAATCAGCTTCAGCAGAAGACCTGCTGATTGAAGCTTGTTTCTTGGATTTCCATGAAATTAAGGACTCACCAAGAAAAATGGAAAATCCAATGATGCTGCGCCTAGTCTCAAGGCAACTCGTCCAATCACTATCACTGTAAGCTTTGAGATGTAGGTTTAGGTTGCTGGGAAAAAATAACTCTTGGCCAGGGTAGCCTTAATGTATCTGAGAACCCTGTAAGCTGCATCTAAATGTGACTGAGCAGGTTTAAACATAAATTGAATAAGGACATGGACTGAATAGGACAAGTTAGGTCTAGTGATGGTGAGACAGATCAATCTACCAATGAGTTTTCAGTAGACTGAGGGATCAGATAGGAAGTTGTAGTCTTCATATTTTAGCTTCAGCATAGAATCCATTGGGAATGCCACAGGTTTCCAACTAGAGAAACCAGAGTCTTCTAATATGTGTAGCGCATATTTTCTTTGACAAAGGGTAACTCCCTGCTGTGATTGAGAAATTTCCAATCCAAGAATGTACTTTAACTCATCTAATTCCTTGATTATGAATTGATTATCTAAAAATTTCTTGAGTGCTTGAATTTCATTGAGATTATTACTTGCAAGTAAGACATCATCAACATAAACCAAGAGCACCATAAATGAATCAGCAGTAATTCGAAGAAATAATGAGGAATTAGACTTGGTTTGTTGAAATCCATATGAAATGAGGCTGGTCGTGAGCTTTGCAAACCATTGTCTAGATGCATGTTTGAGTTTGTGCTTTTATTTAGTTTACAAACCAAGGAGGTGTCATGAATCGGATATCCCTGTGGTAACTCCTTATAGGCTTCCTCATGTAAGTCACTATGCAAAAAGGTATTGTTGACATTTAATTGGTATAAAAAATAATTGTTTACTGCTGTAATAGCTATAAGCATACATAACGAAGTCAATTTTGAAACAGGGGAAAAGTGTTAAAAAAATCTAGGCCTTCCTGTTGGGTATATCTCTGAGCCACCGGCCATGCTTATCTTTTCATAGTCCCATCTGCTTTATACTTGACTTTATAAACACTTGCTCCCAATGGTATGTTTGTCATATAGTAGATGCATAAAGGTCCAAATATTATTCATTTCAAGAGCTTTAATTTCACTATTCATACCTTCTTTCCAATGGAGATATTTAATAGTTTGGTCATAGAATTTTGGTTCAAAAGTATTAGAGAGTGCTGTAGTAAAGGCCTTGTATTTGGGAACTAAATGATTAGTGGAAATATAGTGAGATAAGGGGTATTGTTTACTAGATGTACATGGTCTAGCCAGCATTGTAGAAGGCTGGACTAGTGTGGAAGAAAAAGGTAAATTACACTAATAATCATTTAGGTAAGGAGACAAATGTCTGATTCTGTTAGATCTTCTAGGAGGAGGTTGGAAATAAGAGATGGGTAGATTGTTTGGCAACTCAGGATAGTTTAAAGGGGTGTTTGAGGGAGGAGAAATGAGTCAGTCAATTTCTGAACACTCGTGACATTTGAAAGCTTTTTATCTGGTAAAATTTCATGTATGCATATGGATGCACTGACGTTCTTGAATATGTCATGATAATCATTAATAACATAATAATCAAATATTAAGATCACATAATAACCAATTTCAAGTAACAAATTTATACATTTAATAATATAAACCTTGAATCCTAGCAATATCCTTTTATTGAATGACAAGTGGCGATCCTCCGAACCACTCAAGAAATCAACGTGCCCAAAATCCCAATTCACTATCATCAATTTGGAAACTTCACTTTTTAAATATGAACTTAGAGCATTAATCTATTAAATTATTATTATCATTGTAAATTTGTAAATATAAGTGTTAGAATTAATAAAATTACAAGTGAAATTCAATGTTAAAGACATCTGCAAATCGGAAAAGTATTAACCTTATTTTAATAATTATTGAACCAATAACCCATAATTACACGGTCAAACACACACACACACACACACACACACACACATATATACAGACACGACCCCATGTATGCCTATAGCACTCACAATCCCATATATATAGGCCTACCTAGTGCAGAATGTAAACAAGAAGAAGGGCATAGGTTTCTTTTTGGGGTTCACGTTTGTTTTCATATAAGGGGTATAAATGATGGTTTCTTTCTTTCTAAAAGAGCATGTCTCTTTTCTGGAAATATAAAGCTTAAATTTGGGGTTGATTTGAAGTCAATTTGGTAACTAAATAATAGCTTTCAATTAATTAGTGCACTAAATAATCAATGGGTGCCTAATTATCTAGTCCATAAATTTAAGAATTTTAATTAGAGGAAAATATGAAACAAATTAGATATATTTCTAATTTCTTTATATTACGGTTTATTTCATTATTATTTATTATAATAGGCACGATGATCGTCTAGGACGTTCGAGAGACATCCCACTACAATGATATCATTAATCATAACAACATTAAATTATGAATTAAGACATAAATTTAAGGGCAAGCATTATAATTATATACAATAATTATGTATGAGAAGCATGGCGTTACATATGTGGTTAAAATTAATTGTTAACCTTGACTTTGATTAAAATCTTGATTTTACTTGTTACCAAACAAGATTTTAGATTTTAATTTAATTTTTAGCTGAACCAAATAGGAGCTTAATAAATTTGAACAGAAATGAACTCTAGAGGTTTTCATCCAAAAGACCGTTAATTGACTAAAATTCACCTAGGGTGATAACATGGTCCACTTAATTTTTTACTATTACTTTTGAAAAAGCCACGCAAAAATGTTATTTGTTACTTTAAACAACAACTTCAATCTCTCTATGAGATCAACAATTGTAGCATCATTGGCGATTGCCAACTATATTATTGACGAATCCTTTATGGAGGTGCATCGATCATTACCAATGATATCACTACTCACAAATCAGTCTGAAAACATCGATAAATGCTAATTTACATACACATATATGATGTAGTTACAAGAATTATCTGGATATTGATTTATGGTGGAATAGATGAATGAGGAAAACTAATAAATTAATTGTTCAGATGAAAATAAAATAGTAATTAAATTTTGGAGAGTAAAAACATAGTTAAAAAAAATTAATATGTAAAGTGTTACATAATATAATAAAGATTATGTGAACTGTTTTTTTTTTAATTACAAATTTTTGTTACCATATTAATTTAAAAAATCCTGAATATGATGTATTTTTTAACTTTTTATATTATTAGATCGAATAATGCTATTTGCAATCGCTCACTACCGCAGTCGCCCTTCGTGATATACATGTGATGGTTAATAATTTGTTGCATAAGATAATAAAAAATTATCATATTAATGTATCAAATCACTAACCATCACATGTATATCACATAAAGCGATTACGATAGTAAGTGATTGCAAATAACATTACTCTATTAGATTACAAAGTAGGGTATATTCTATTGGAAAAAATGGGTAAATGGGGCCCCAAAAAAAGGGCTAGGCCCCTAACGGTCGCCACGCCCTGCACAACTCGGCGCTCTGCGTGTGTCTACCCAATTGACGCCTCTGACACCTAAAGATACAGCAAGACTCAAAAAATTGTCTCCATTTGTTAAAGTTTATAAATAATTTATAAAGAGGAATAACAGTGAATCTTAAAAAAATGTTTAGATAATAATAATTAGCAATTGTGAATATACGAATATAATTAATATTTTGTTATAAAATGAGAGGAAAAGAGAATAGAGAAAACTCAAAGAGAATAGAGAAAGCTCAATAAACTTTTGTGTGTATTATTGAAAACCAAAACCCTATATTTATATGTAAGAATTAGGGATACAATGACAATAATTTCTAGGGTTACAGGGGTACAAATGTCATTCACCAATAAACTTTAATAGACTTTCCATTTACAACACTCTCCCTTGAATGACATTTTACAAAATATCTGCCTCGTT